GGTCTTAGACAAGGAAAGAACTGCAAAACCCACTTCAAATGTGTAAGTGATGGACAGCTCAAGGCATCCAGTTATGGCTGTACTGGTTAATGTTTATTTCTTATGAATACTAAGGTCTGTTTTCCTTTCTATTTTTTGTTATGTAATTTTAATAAGTTTAGAAAGCATAGGATGTAAATGGACTTGGCAGTTAAAAACAAAAGGGGGAACATGTTTCAAATTGACAGATAAAGTAACTTTTATTTCCAAGATTTTATTTAAAAGATTGGTTATGCATGGCATTTCAGGCAAGTTGAAACTTAAGACTATTAGAATGTAATATACATACAGAACATTGTGCATGTGTGTATACAAAGACATTAAAGAGATACTTAAGATAAAAGTAATTCTAATGAATATAACAAACAATCAGCCTCGTAAAATGCTATCTCAGATTTAATAAAAATGTATGATAGTGTGGATGGGGAGCAATGTGGCATAATTGCTAATGTATAGAATAGGTGGATGGTTACTAATAATGTATAAAAAGGGAAGGGGACTATATTCCAGTTAAAGCAGAACTTTGACAGAAATGAGTGATGTCACCATGGTTGTTTAATATACACTATTTAGAAAAGGCTGTGGAAGAGGTTAATGTAAGGTCATTGAGAAGAGGTGTAATTTAAATGATAATGAATCTAATAAAGTGGAAGTTGTCACAGTTGCTCTTTGAAGACAACACTTCTTTTGAAAGTTCTCAGGAAAGTTGCGAAGGCTGGTGAAGGAATATGGAAGTGTGTGTAAAAGAAGGAAATTAAACATAATCTTAAAGAGCAAGGTGATAAGGGGTAACAAAATGTTTAACCCTTTGACTGTCGCAACCCCCAATCCTGAGGTGTCTCCTGGTGTCGCAAAATTTAACCCTTTCAGGGTCCGTCCCGTAGATCTACGGCTTTACATTCAGGGTCCAAACCGTAGATCTACGCCATGAGCTCAGCTCACTCTGATAAACTGTGAGTGGTACATTTGGGCCTAGATATGAGAGAATACATGTATGTGGTATGTGTGCACCACATAAAACAGATCCTGCAGCACACTGTGTATAATGAGAGAAAAAAAATGAAATCATGATTTTTCGATTAAAACAGCAACTTTGCAGTGTTTTTTCGTATATTTTTTATAGTTGTATTTGCGATTTCTTGGTCTCATTTGATAGAATGGAAGACATATTACAGAAATAGAGATGATTTTGATTGGTTTTAGCATGGGAAATGGCTTGAAACTGAGCTCAAAGTAGCGGAAATGTTAAATTTTTGCCGATATTCAAGAGTAAACAAACGACCTCACACGTCTAATACACGCCAGCTGGTGGGTCTAATATACATCACAAATATGGTGATGATATTTATACAATTATTACAGTATTGCATAACAGTAAATCTTCTATTTTTTGGTGTGAATAAAAATTCATTATGTGAATAAAAAATCAAATGGAATTTATTTGTAAAGCCTCAAAACATAACTAATGAACAGAGGAAATGTTAGTTTAGTGCCAGGAATGCCTACATTGTTCATTCTGGATCCTATTTTGAAATTGGAATATTTTGAACTTTGTGTTAAATTGGCCAAATTAACAATTTCCGATCACTTTATTTTGTAATTGAAACAGTTGACTTGGCGATTTCTTGTGCTCAATCGATAGAATAGAAGTAATACTAGTGAAATAGCTAAGAATTTGGTTGATTGGAATAATGTAATTGGCCTAAAATGGGAGTCAAAGTCGGCAAAATCGCCGATTCGTAAATATCGCTGACACATCAAAATTCGCGAGAGCATAATTTCGTCAATTTTCCACCAAATTTCGTACTTTTTGTTTTATTACCTTCACAAAAAGATTCTCTACGATTTCATAAGAAAAAATAAAATTTTTTTTTTTGAAAATTCTTGGACACTGGTGCGTGACTCCAGATTTGGGCCTTGGACCCTGAAAGGGTTAAAAAAAAAAATATTTTTTCTTATGAAATTATAGAGAATCTTTTCCCGATTGTAATGACACCAAAAAAGCGAAATTTGATGGAAAACTGACGGAATTATGCTCTTGCGAAGTTAGCGACCTCGGCGATATTTACAAATCGGCGATTTCGCCCACTTTGAGCCCTATTTTCGGCTAATTCCATTGTGCCAGTCGACCAAACTCATAGCTATTTCTTTAGAACTCCATTTTTTCTATCGATTGAGTACAAGAAACTGCCCATTTACCGATTTCAACTACCCAATAATGTGGTCAGAAATTTGCAATTTGGCCAATTTCACGAAAATTAAAAAATATGACAATTTCAAAATAAGGTCCAGAAAGAACAATGCAGACATTCCTGGCTCTAAAATAACATTTTCTTTGTTCATCAGTCATGTCTCCAGGCCCCTCTGATATTACTCTTGCTTTCTATTTTGAATTTTTATTCAAACAAAAAATAGAAGACTTACTATTATGCAGACTACTGCAATACTGTAATAATTGTATAAATAACATCAACCCATTCATGACTGCATATTAGAATGGCTAGTTGGACATTTATTGGACAATGACATCATTTGTTTACTTTTGAACATTGGCAAAAATCAAACATTTTCCCTAGTTTGAGCTCCATTTCCAGGTTCTTTTTATAGTAAAATCAATCAAAATCACCTCTACTTCTATAATATGCTTTCCATTCTATCAAATGAAACCAAGAAAATGAGAATACACCCATAAATACTATACAAAAATAGACCACAAAGTCGGCATTTTAATTAAAAAAAATAGTAGGAGTTTTTTTTTTCTCATTATGCACTGCGTGCTCCAGGATTTTTTTTATATGGTGCACACTGACCACACAGACCCATTCTCTCACATGTGGGCCTACCAGCTTTCTCCTGCTTGATTTGAAGCCGCTAGAATTTATGAGTATATATACGTCAAACACGGTACCTCGGCCGCGACAGTCAAAGGGTTAAACAATGAAAGATTGAATATCAGATTAGGGGGAGGAAGTATGGAGGAAGTATTTGGGAGTGGGCTTGTGACAGATAGGGTTATGGAATATGAATCATAGTTAATATATAGGCAGATTGTAGAGGCATCTTTGGTAAGTTTATGGAGACAAAAAAGGGAAATGTACCTGAGTATAATGATATCAAGCCTTTTAGATGGGTGTAAGGCATGGACTTTAATTAACCCCTTGGCTGTCGCAACCCTAAATCCTGAGGTGTCCCTGGTGTTGCAAAATTTTCGAAAAAAAAAAAAAAAATTTTCTTATAAAATAATAGAGAATCTTTTCCCGATTGTATTGACACCAAAAGAACGAAATTTGATGGAAAACTGACGGAATTACGCTCTTGCGAAGTTAGTGACCTCAGCAATATTTACGAATTGGGGATTTCACCCACTTTCAGCCCTATTTTCGGCTAATTCCATTGTTCCAATCGACCAAACTCATAGCTATTTCTTTAGAACTCCATTTTTTCTATCGATCGAGTACAAGAAACTGCCCATTTACCAATTTCAACTACCCAATAACGTGGTCAGAAATTTGCAATTTGGCCAATTTCAAAATAGGGTCCAGAATGAACAATGCAGACATTCCTGGCTCTAAAATAACAATTTCTTTGTTTATCAGTCACGTCTCCAGGCCCCTCTGATATTACTCTTGCTTTCTATTTTGAATTTTTATTCAAACAAAAAATAGAAGATTTACTGTTATGCAGACTACTGCAATATTGTAATAATTGTATAAATAATGTCAACCCATTCATGACTGCATATTAGAATGGCTACTTCGACATTTATTGGAAAATGACATCATTTGTTAACTTTTGAACATTGGCAACAATCAAACATTATCCTACTTTGAGCTCCATTTCAAGGTTCTTTTCATAGTACAAACAATCAAAATCACCACTATTTCTATAACATGTTTTCCATTCTATCAAATGAGACCAAGAAAACGAGTACAACCATAAATACTGTACGAAAATAGACCACAAAGTTGGCATTTTAATTAAAAAAATGGTCAGTTTTTTTTTTCTCATGCACTGCGTGCTGCAGGATTTTTTTTATATAGTGCACACTGACCACACAGACCCATTCTCTCACATGTAGGCCTACCAGCTTTCTCGTGCTTGATTTGAAGCTGCTAGAATTTATGAGTATATATACGTCAAAAACGGTGGCTCGTAAGACGTATATGTACAGTGGACCCCTGCTTAACGATCACCTCCCAATACGACCAATTATGTAAGTGTATTTATGTAAGTGCGTTTGTACGTGTATGTTTGGGGGTCTGAAATGGACTAATCTACTTCACAATATTCCTTATGGGAACAAATTCGGTCAGTTCTGGCACCTGAACATACTTCTGGAATGAAAAAATATCGTTAACCGGGGGTCCACTGTACAACCAAAACAGTCAAAGGGTTAAGCATTGCAGCAAGGCATAGGCAGTCCAGATGTCATGTTTGAGAGCAATGTATAGCATGAATATTATGCAGATAATTCAAAGCATAGAAATCAAGACAGTGTTGTGTTATGAAAGGTTCAGTTCAGAAGATGGGAGAGGGATTGTTGAGGTAGTTTGAGTATTAAAAGGGGATAGAGCAGAAAAAGATGACAAAGAGGATGTATAAATGAAGGATGGAAGAAAGGAAGTGTAGGTTCATCCCAAGAAGAGTTGGTGAGAGGGTGTGAAGGAGGTTTTAAATGGTAGTCTCTCTAGCATTAAGCGAGCCTGTGGAAACATATTAGATCAGAGTGAATAGAGATGAAAAGTTTTTAGGGTATGACATGTAGTTGGAATGTGAGCAAGGTAATATTTACCCAAAGATTCATAGAAATTGGTTAGCCAAACTTGAGTCCAGGAGGTGTAAGTACAGTTCCTGCACTCTGACAAAGGGGTGTAGATGTTAAAATTCAGAGTCTTTGGAGGTGTAATGTCTGCACATTTTTGGGAAGACATATTGAATGAATGATGGGTATTTTTTTTTTTTTGGGGGGGGGGCACTGTCTTGGTGGGAGATGGCCACTTTGGTAAAAAAAAAAAAAAAAAAAACTTTCACCACATTGTGGTATAGCTCTATGCTATACAATTCTTTTGTATGTATTATAGCCTTGTTAGTAGTTTCTGCACACTGATAGTACAGTACAGTATTGTGTTGTCATTTTGTGATTTTTAATTTCAACTGTGAACTGGAGGATTTCAAAAGGTTCGTCATGATAACTTAGCTTGACAGCTCTCAATATAGTTGTATAATTATTATTATTATTATTATTGTTATTATTATTATTATTTCATGAGTTCTTTGTTTAAAATGATATGTGCTGGACCCAGAATTTTATCGATTCCCTTAGTGTTTATAATTTATTAGTATGTAGCTCTTTTAAAAACTAATACTTTTAATATTTCAGTGGTCAGCCGGAGGTGACAACCACCACTACCTCCTACAGTGTTGATTACGGCCCCCACACCACTAACGGTCACCATCACGACTCTCCTGACACCTCCAGACACTCTGTGTCATCTGCAGGCCAAGATAGCACACAGTTGGTTTCTCGAAAGCAGACACAACACACTACACAACAGGTTAGATAGTTTACTGATAGGTTTTTAAATGTAATTATTTGCTATACAGTGCTCTTCCAAATACATGGGGGCAGAGGAGGAGACTTTTGTAGAGGTTCCCTGTAATCCAGAAACTGATGAATACGGCACTACTAAATGTTACCCATATTTTGTAATTAAATTTTTTTCAGTTTTTTTTTTTTAGTTAATATTTAAAAGTGAAAAAAGAGGGAGATTCGCTTTGTCGATTTTCGCTTTCTGCAGTAGCCTGGAAACTAACCTGTAATATAATCAGAGCCCTCCTATTTTCTACTCCCATAACCTGGTAGTGGGCCAGGCTTGTCTGGTACTTGCCTGGTCAACCAGGCTATTGCTACTGGTGGCTCACTGACCATATATTTATGATAGCTTGGTTAATCTGGCACCTGATGAAGATATTTGTCCAATTTTCTCTTGAAGACTTCTACACTTGTATCAGCAGTGCTTCTGATATCTTCTGGAAAAATGTTGAATAGTTTGTGGCCAGTGATGTTGATATAGTGTTCCCTTTTTATGCCCACTGCACTCCTGCTTTTAACTGGGTTTATTTTGCACTTCCTTTCATCTCTCTCTCTCCAGTATGTTATGGCAATGTGCAGAGTTGGGACAAGGCCCTCAGGAGGAGGAACCAGTCAAATACTAAGAAAGAGGAGCACTGCAAGGGAGCTAGGTGCCTACAGAGGGTAAGAGCAAGAACACAGAGGGGGGGGGAATAATAAAAAATAATGAAGGAACAAAAACACAAGGCAGAAGAAAGACAATCCAGAGGAGAAAAAGGAAAGAGGAAAGGGGAAGATGGAGAAGAAGAAAAGGGAGGAATCAGGTTAGGTCACAGGTGTTCTGAAGTTTGGAGCATTTTACAGTGTAGTGGGAGAGGAAGGCATCTACAGAGACGAAGCCAGGACTAAGATTCATACAAGGAAAGTTGTGTATTAGGGAGGATTCAACTAGACAGCGACTGTTAAAGTTGGAAGTAGGGAAGACAGTTTTAGCAGAAGACCAGTCAATAGGATGGCTGTGATCTCTGTTAGCATTTTGTTTGTGGATAATTTTAGTTTAAAATATTTTAAATTTTTCTGGCTTCTGCCATGTACTTTATATTTCCGAGTAATTGTTTTGTACATCATTATATTTTATTAGATAACAACAACCACCAAGGTTATTCGTGAAGTGCATCACATTGGTCCTGACGGTGAGGTGTTGGATTCTTATCAAGCTGGTGAATACAACCCGTACGGTCAAACTCCCTTACAACCCGGCTATGCCATGGACTCTTATCGCCCTCATTCTCCTGCCAGTGAAGCTGGTAAGTATCTGCTTTGTTTTTTCTTGCCTTCTCTTTATTTTTCTCTTCACTCATTTTTATACTTTTTATTATTTTGGTGACCCAAAAAAAAAAGAAAAACACTTTCACCATCATTCACACACAATCACTGTCTTTGCAGGGTCACGTAGATATGACAGTTCATGTGTCACCCCAATAGCAAATATCCCAAACCCCTTCCTTTAAAGTACAGGCATTGTACTTCCTACCTCCAGGACACTAGCCTGGCTAACCGTTTTCCCGAATCCCTTCATAAAATGTTACCCTGCTCACACTCCAACAGCTTGTCAAATCCCAAAATCCATTTGTCTCCGTTTACTCCTATATAACATGCTCACACATGCCTGCTCTAGGTCCAGGCCCCTTGCACACTAAACCTCTTTTATCCTCTTTCTCCATCCTTTCCTAGGATGACTTCTACCCCTCCTCCCTTCCACTACAGATATAAACACCCTCCAAGTCATTCTACTTTGTTCCATTCTCTCTAAATGACCAAACCACATCAACAGCCTCTTTTCAGCCCTCTGAATAATACTTTTAGTAAACTCCACACCTCCTAATTTCCACACTACGAATTCTCTGCATAATATTTACACCACACATTGTCCGTAGACACGACATCTTCACCACCTCCAGTCTTTTTGTTGCTGCAGCATTTACAACCCATGTTTTACACCCATATAAGAGTGTTGGTGCCACTATACTCTCATACATTCCCTTCTTTGCCTCCTTGGTTAATATTCTTTGTATCCATTGATACCTCAATGGACCACCTGCCTTTTTTCTTTCATCAGTTCAGTTGTTTACCTCATCCTTCATAAATCCATCTGCTAACAAGTCTACACCAAATAGCTGAACACGTTCACTTCTTCCATACTCCCTCCCTCCAATGTGGTATTCAATTTTTCTTTACCTAATTCATTTGATACCCCCTCATCAGCCTACATTATTATTATTATTGTATCTGTATTTGTAGTCTTAATGTAGGGTGAGAGGTGAGTATTTAGTGTAGAAAGAGGCAGAAGAAGAAGAGCAAAGAATGGAAAAAGTACGGTGGAACCTGGGCTTACGAGTTTAATCCGTTCCATGACATAGCTAGTATCCCGATCTGCTCGTATGCGGAGTCAATTTTCCTCATTTAAATTAATTGAAATGCCATTAACCCTTTGACTGTTTTGGTCGTATATATACGTCTTACGAGCCACCGTTTTTGACGTATATGTACTCATAAATTCTAGCGGCTTCAAATCAAGCAGGAGAAAGTTGGTAGGCCCACATGTGAGAGAATGGATCTGTGTGGTCAGTGTGCACCATATAAAAAAATTCTGCCGCACGCAGTGCATAATGTGAAAAAATTTCCGACCGTGGTTTTTTTTTTTAATTAAAACACTGACTTTGTGGTCTATTTTCGTATAGTATTTATGATTGTATTTTTGTTTTCTTGGTCTCATTTGATAGAATGGAAAACATGTTATAGAAATAGAGGTGATATTGATTGTTTGTACTATGAAAAGAACCTTGAAATGGAGCTCAAAGTAGGATAATGTTTGATTGTTGCCAATGTTCAAAAGTAAACAAATGATGTCATTTTCCAATAAATGTCGAAGTAGCCATTCTAATATGCAGTCATGAATGGGTTGACATTATTTATACAATTATTACAATATTGCAGTAGTCTGCATAACAGTAAATCTTCTATTTTTTGTTTGAATAAAAATTGAAAATAGAAAGCAAGAGTAATATCACAGGGGCCTGGAGATGTGACTGATGAACAAAGAAATTGTTATTTTAGAGCCAGGAATGTCTGCATTGTTCATTCTGGACCCTATTTTGAAATTGTCATATTTTTTAATTTTTGTGAAATTGGCCAAATTGCAAATTTCTGACCACATTATTGGGTAGTTGAAATAGGTAAATGGGCAGTTTCTTGTACTCAATTGATAGAAAAAATGGAGTTCTAAAGAAATAGCTATGAGTTTGGTCGACTGGAACAATGGAATTAGCCGAAAATAGGGCTGAAAATGGGCGAAATTGCCGATTCATAAATATCGCCGAGGATGCTAACTTCGCGAGAGCATAATTCCGTCAGTTTTCCATCAAATTTCGCTCTTTTGGTGTTACTACAATCAGGAAAAAATTCTCTATCATTTCATAAGAAAAAATAATTTTTTTTTTTTTTTTTTGAAATTTTGCGACACCAGGAGACACCTCAGGATTTGGGGTTGCGACAGTCAAGGGGTTAATTCACTCCAGCAGACTTCCTGTTCAGGAGGCAGGACAAAATACACTTCAACATAATGCTAATGTTAGCTCTACGGCTTATTTAACCATTAAAATTCATGTAATATGACATAATAAATAATATTAATAACATAGAAACCTGATATATATGTGCTCTAGAAGGTATAAAATATGTATGTCATTGTGACAAGTGGTGGCGGGCATTCTTGCTCCCGCTGTGAGAAATCTTCCCATGCTTCCCCTTCTGAGGTGTTGTTGTAAGAGAAAACGGAGTGTTTGTTAGGCTAACTGCATTAGATCACTAGTTTCATAAGGAAAACATAATGTAAAGAAACTAGTATATGTACACCATTTACCTTGGAGAAGAGATGCTGGTGAAGGTTGACGGTGGAAAAGATAGGCAGAGCGGCGTATGCTGTCAGGAGTTCATTTCGTTTCATCCTTTTTCTATTGCTTAATCACTTGGCTTAATTGCTACACTCTTAATGCTACACTTTATCATGTCATCCTCTTTTTCCTCTCAGCACTGTCCTTTGCACTTGCTTTCATAGGACCCATGGTTAGAAAAAAAGAAATTTGGCAAAATAACTGCACGAAACGTAAGCAAAACACAAATTCCTTTCAACGCGAGCTAAGCACATGCACTAGTGATGGTGGGCGTTGTTGTGGCACTTACTGTGTCATCTTGTGGTGGCTTCTGAAGCTCACTTATTATAGTATTATAATTATTAATATAGTATTATTGTTGTATTATTATTATTATATTATTATTATAATGAGGAAGCACTGAACCCGTAGGATTATACAGCGCCTGTGGGGGGGATGGAAGGTATTTAGGCTTAATTTAGGGAACTGGAACACAGATACAATTCCCTAGATCAAGAGCCCCTCACCAGCATCAAGGACCCTCCTTTGAGGGGGAAGCTCGTATCCTGAATTTTGGCTCGTATCCAGAAACAAAAAATTGACCAAGCTATGGCTCGTATCCTGAAAAGCTTGCATGCTGGGGCACTCATAAGCTGAGATTCCACTGTACAAAAGAAGTTCACTGTAAAGGGGTTAGTGATGTCTCAACATAAAGCGATCTCCAAGACTACATATCTTGTTTATAAATTTGTACTTTATTTTGCACTCCATAGTACAGGATATAAGTGCAGCAGCACTTGGAGGAGGAAAACAAGAGGAAAATGGAAGAAGTACAAAATAAGTAAAGGGGTTAGCTGGTGCATTTGTGTGTTTTCATTCTCGGCATATCTTGGCATCTCCCATGGCATCTAAGAAGTTATTAAACTCGATGGTAATAATAATAATAATTTATTATTATTATTATTTTTTATTTTTTATTAACACACTGGCTGATTCCCACCAAGGCAGGGTGGCCCGAAAAAGAAACTTTCACCATCATTCACTCCATCACTGTCTTGCCAGAAGGGTGCTTTACACTACAGTTTTTAAACTGCAACATTAACACCCCTCCTTCAGAGTGCAGGCACTGTACTTCCCATCTCCAGGACTTAAGTCCGGCCTGCCGGTTTCCCTGAATCTCTTCATAAATGTTACTTTGCTCACACTCCAACAGCATGTCAAGTATTAAAAACCATTTGTCTCCATTCGCTCCTATCAAACACGCTCACGCATGCCTGCTGGATGTCCAAGCCCCTCGCACACAAAACCTCCTTTGCCCCCTCCCTCCCAACCTTTCCTAGGCCGATTCCTACCTCATCTTCCTTCCACTACAGACTGATACACTCTTGAAGTCATTCTGTTTTGCTCCATTCTCTCTACATGTCCGAACCACCTCAACAACCCTTCCTCAGCCCTCTGGACAACAGTTTTGGTAATCCCGCACATCCTCCTAACTTCCAAACTACGAATTCTCTGCATTATATTTACGCCACACATTGCCCTCAGACATGCTTCCAGCCTTCTCCTCGCTGCAACTATACTCTCATACATTCCCCTCTTTGCCTCCAAGGACAAAGTTCTTTGTCTCCACAGACTCCTAAGTGCACCGCTCACCCTTTTCCCCTCATCAATTCTATGATTCACCTCATCTTTCATAGACCCATCCGCTGACACGTCCACTCCCAAATATCTGAATACATTCACCTCCTCCATACTCTCTCCCTCCAATCTGATATCCAATCTTTCGTCACTTAATCTTTTTGTTATCCTCATAACCTTACTCTTTCCTGTATTCACTTTTAATTTTCTTCTTTTGCATACCCTACCAAATTCATCCACCAACCTCTGCAACTTCTCTTCAGAATCTCCCAAGAGCACAGTGTCATCAGCAAAGAGCTACTGTGACAACTCCCACTTTATGTGTGATTCTTTATGTTTTAACTCCACGCCTCTTTCCAAGACCCTCGCATTTACTTCTCTTACAACCCCATCTATAAATATATTAAACAACCACGGTGACATCCTTGTCTAAGGCCTACTTTTATTGGGAAATAATCTCCCTCTTTCCTACATACTCTAACTTGAGCCTCACTATCCTCGTAAAAACTCTTCACTGCTTTCAGTAACCTACCTCCTATACCACACACCTGCAACATCTGCCACATTGCCCCCCTATCCACCCTGTCATACGCCTTTTCCAAGTCCATAAATGCCTCTTTAGCTATATCTAAATACTGTTCAATTATATGTTTCACTGTAAACACCTCGTCCACACACCCCCTTCCTTTCCTAAAGCCTCCTTGTTCATCTGCTATCCTATTCTCTGTCTTACTCTT